TAATCGTATGTAGCCAAGCTTTCAGACTTTCAAATAGTGATGGATACATTCATTTGAGTTGCCAAGAATGACAGGGCTTTTGACAGTTTTCTGCAGTATCCTAATAGCCAAGCTAAGGAGATGGGGATTAAGTGAATGGGCTATGAAATGAACGAAGAACTGACTGGACCGTTGATCTCAAATTGTAACTTGATTTGAAGTTTATCTGAACAGCTGCTTAGGAGAGGTCTTCCCCAGTGGTTGATACTGTGTCCAAAGCTGGTTAACACATTCCCAGCCACCTGGCCTCGCAGGAAGGGACTGGAAGGTAGAGCTGCCATTCAGAGAGAAGTTGCCAAACTGTCTTGTCAACAGAAACCTCATGAAATTTAACAAAGACAAATTGAAAGCCCTGCACCTGGGGCTGAACAGCCCCTGTTAGCATTGCTGGGGCCTGGCTGGTGAGGGAGCAGCCCTGCAGCAAAGAACCTGGGTGGGCAGCAGAGCAGGCTGGATGTGAGCCAGCTGGGTGCCTGGCAGCGGAAACAGCCCAGTGCACTCTGGGCCGCTTCAGCAAGAGCATAGCCAGCAGCTTGAGGAAGCTGGTCGTTCCCCACAGTGTTAGTTGAGGCTGTCTGGAATGATGTCCTGTTTTGGACCTTCCAGCACAGATGAGGAGAGATGAGAGCGAGTCCAGCAGCGAGCTGCTGAGGTACTGGAGTACATGCTGGATGAGGAAAGGCTAAGGGAACTGGGTTTATTTAGTTTGGAGAAGAGAAAGCTGAGACAGGAGAGTATCAGTGTGTATAAATACCTGATAGGGGGTTGTATGAGAAAATGTGAAAGAATCTCTAAGTTGGAAAGAGGGAAATTCTGTTTGGACGTGAAGAAAAAACTATTCCCTATGAGTGGTTAAATGCTGGAACACGTTGCCTGGTAAGTCTGTAGAGTCTGCATCCTCAGAGATGCTCAGAATTAGCCAAGGTCCTGAGCAACCTGATCAGACTTTGAAATTTGCTCTGCTTTGGGAAGCTGATGTAGAGGACCTGCAGAGGTCCCTTCCAATATAAATTATTTTAACTTTTTTTAGATTTGTACTGGTATTGTGCTCTGCCTGAGCTAGTACTTGTAGCCTCAGTGCAGGTAATGCTAGTTGTTTTTGAACTTAGAGGGGCCGCAACAGTTATGACGTGTATTCCCATCAGTCTCTTACTAATGTGCTCAGATGGAGTCTATCCCTGTTTTGTTGAATTTTATGAGCACGGTTGCCAGCTACACTATGTTAATTACAAAACAAATATTTCTGAATTATACAAGAAAAATTCATCCATGTGTTAGACTTCTAGCTTAAGCAAAAAAGTATTATTGTAAGGTGTTTTTCATCAGGAGTGATGCTTGCAAAGCTCTCTCAGTAGTCATTAGGTATAAGTCAGTATGGTTCTGGAGTTTGATGTGGCAAGGGCTATGTTTAGCATTTAAAAGCATTTGGGCTTAATTGCAGCTATAACTTAAAAACAGTGTCTTAATATATTCCCCCAAAAGCTTTAGAATACATTATTTAACTAGCGATCAACTGCATAAAGTCAAAGTGTCTTATACTCGGTAAAAAGTCAACAAGTTTTAATGTATTTTTTTGTTGTAGATTACTTGCTTTTAGGAATGAAATAACTAACTTAAATGACTCGCCTTACGAAATATATCGAACAGTTTTTACTTTTTAATAGCTAGTATATTTTAATATACATCAGTTCACTGTAGCAAAAGGCAGTCAATAAACAACTTGGCTAATACAATTTGTGTGAAAAGTAGAATGTTAAATTTTGAAGTGAAAGCATATCCAACACAAGTGCCTGCTATTTAGAAAAAGGACGCTAGAGTGCAGTGTAGCATTTACAGTAACACTTAAAAGCTAAGACTTAGCAAAGTCTTTTGAACATAGCATTCATTTGCTTGCACACTGCTTTTTTTATACAGTATTCTAACTTTAGGCTCTATAGAAATTCTCTAAATGTATTAGCAGAACTCCATTCTTTTACCACTTATGACGTGCTCCTTTTTTCTATTATCTTTTTGAGTGTTTACTATATTAACAAAAGAGGTTTCTAAGAATTAAACTGCAGATGGTCTAAGTGAATGTTAAAATCTCTGAAAGTTGGGATGGTTACAAAAGATAATTTTAACTTAACAAGGTTGTGTAAAGCTTTGCTAGGAAGTGGTGAGTTCACTGCACAAGTTGAAGATTTTTGAAAATATAGAACTATTTTCCTAATACAAGTTATCATATGAAGCTCTGATGGTAATTGTTTATGTTCTGTTGAAGACAAACTACAGAGTGAGTGGTAGATTCTGCTTTTAACAGGAGTCTGTACCTATTAAAGAAGTTGAGTAGAAGGCATCCACTTTTTTTGTTAAAGTACGAGCTAGAACACTTGCTTCTGAAAGGTGTATGGGTTCTGAGCCAGCTTTTATTAAAAATCAATGACAGAAGTCACTCTTGACTTCATTTGGTGCAGGGCTGAGCTTTAAATTCAACTCTCTCATCTTGTTTTGAAACTGGAATATTCTTGGAAAAGGTTTTTGATATGGAAACGCATGTTGTGCTAGTAACAAATACAATAGATGTGCCATAGACTGTCCTTAAAATGCTGTATTTAATAAGGTAATGTTGCGTAGTTAAACCTAAATTTCAAATGCTAAAGGAGTTATTGCTTATGTGGAGATAAAGTTACTTAGCCAAGTCAATTTTATTGATATTCAGTGTGTATGTTTTCAGAACAAGAGAATAAAACATAAAAAAAACCCAATCTCAAAACAAAACCAAAAACTTTTCATCAGCTGTGACATGGAAGCTGAGAATGTTAGAAGCTTTTTACTCTTGCACAGATTATTGCAAGGTTTCCTTTAATGACAAGGTGCAATTCTTTATTAATAAAAAAAATCCCCAACAATAATAAAGCCATGTATGAAGCTTTCAGGTAATTTAACTTCAGATGGTGGACCAGTTTTACACCACTTCATTTGCTGTTTGGACCACTGAATGCGTCTGAAAGTTACTGACACTAGCTCCGGCTAGCCTTATTTTAGTCCTTAGCCGCCTTCAGCTGCCTTTTCTCCTGCTCACTTTCACGTCCACTATTACTTTCTTCTACACAGGGTAAAAAGAGCCTACATTCCCTGGCTTCAGTGGATGCCAGACTGGGGAGGAGACGGGGAGAAGCAGTGGCCGGCTGTAATACTAAAGAGTCCTCAGCAGTGAGGCTTTTGGGGATGGTTGTTGGGGGCTATCACTAGCAAGACTATTGGGGACCACAGGCTGAAGAACATCCTGCGCTAGTCCTGGCAGGTTGGAAAAGTTATCTGTCCATGGCTGCACACTTCTGATGTGGTGTATTTGGTCCTCTTCTGAATTATCATGGAAGTTTGGTGCCAGCGAGGAATCAACTTACTCTTGATACAAGAGAACCATCTGTCAGATTTGTAGTATTGTTTCCTGAATGTTTTATAAGCTAATTGAGCAATATAGACACTGCTACTTCAGCAAAAGGCAGTTTAAACTTCCTGGGTTCTGTTAAAATCCTATCAGTGCCTGTGCCCCTCAAGAGTTTATGTAGATATTCCACCTGCTGCCTCAAACATTTGTGCAATTGTAACATAAGTAACACTAACAAGTAACTAGTAACACTAGTGACATGAGTGGTTTAAGTTAGCTAACAGTTTAGGCAAGTAGTAACTCTCATCCCAGTGCTGCCTTGGATCAAGATGGTGTTGCTGCTTCAGGTGTATGACTTCGCTTTAGAAGTTTTTTGTGTGTTTTTTGTAGCTGAAAGGAAGATGAACAACTTCATTTTTTCAATGGAAATAGTGGTCTGAGTTGCAAAGCACATGTTTGCTGATGACTTAAGGGCAGACCTGTCTTTCTCTTTGGAACTGGGTGTGGGTGCAGGGCTCCCCAAACATTTCCCACATGTAGACATGGGTGGCAGGAGTCTGTTTCTGCAGAGCAGCAAGCTGACTTTGTCTCTTCTGAATTGCCCTCTAGAAGAATTTAAAGCTTCATATGTAATATTCATGAATATGTAATATTCATGTTGTGGTGTCTTAATCTTTAACTGAACTGTATTTCCATGTCCAAATACATAGTTTCTGAAAGGATAAGATGAAGTCACTGCTTTGTCAGATAGCAGCTTTTGCTTTGGTGGAGAGCAGCAGTCTTCATTACAAAGCGCTGCCTATTCCAGAACTGCTGTTTAAACAGCAAGCAACTTTGAGTAGGTTCTGCTAAAACCATACATGAGAAAGCAATATGGTAGGGGAAGCTGTGAGAAACCTTGTGGCAAATTTGACTGTAATTTGATTTGTGTTCCCCTTTTTTTTTCTTCCTGGAAACATCACTTTGGTAAAACTGTACTTTCTCACTTAAAAAGGCAGTTGAGCTGGAGAGGGAAGCAAGCTTTCCTTAGGCTATGCTAGTGTTTCTCTAATTTATTAGTTGTGTGTGCTCTTGTGTGTGGAGATACAGATGTTAGCAATGCACTCCGATTTGTATTATGTGTTTTTATATAAAAATATAATTAAAATATGAAATTTGCAAATAACTTTGTATATATACAGTTAAGACTTTCGTAGTCATTATTCATTGCTGACCTAATATAGAAGTTGAGATACTGTTAAGAGTATTAATTGTTTGTGGGTGTGTTATGCACAATAGTAAATACAATTTAATATTGCATGCCATTTTTTGTCTGTGAAATGACAAACTTGCTGAAAATGGAGCAGCTGAACAAAGTGAGAGTGAGACTGCGGAACGGTAGGTGGCACTGGCATTGCATGGGACTGATGTGCACTCCTGGGGCCCCAGCACTCAGTAGTGAAGGGATGAACTGCATATAAGGAAAAAACAAATTGTGTTCCTGCTTAGTGGAAAGGCCTGTGTAAAAAGTAACTGTTGTACAGGTTCCCTATGTTATCAGTGTGGATGAGAGCTGTTTTACTCTCCATTTTTATCATTTAGTGGGCTCTGAACTGCTCCAGCTCATGCCTTGAAGATCATTTTCAGCTTTCTATCTTCTGTTTTAGTGAAGAGAGTAAGGTAAGGGAAATATTTAAAACCATGGTAGGGCAGACAGACCCTCATAGGCATAGGTAAGTACAAAAGGCAATAACTCTAATTTTAGTCAAATAACTACTCACAACTCTTCACCTTTTTCATTGATAATCCCTTAGGAAGGAGGATATATCAGACTCTATAACTGGAGTTTATAAAATCGTGTACATATAAAGTTCCCATTTGGTATCTTTCAATTAAAATCAGTGAAGTGACATAAATTAAAGAAGGGTTAGAGATGAGAACTACAGTGGATCCTCTTAAAGAGTCTTTATTTTTGAGTGTTTCATGTTCTGATGTTGAAACTAGTTTGCAGCGTTTTCAGATGTGGACCCTTCTAATCATCTTTTAAACAAGCTGTGTTTCAACCTAAAGCATAGCTGGATCTGGCTTTATTTCATAATGCCAATGCTGCAGTTTCTCATTTCCTAATATATCAAAGACTAAAAGGATACAAGCATTTGGAAAAACAAAGCTCTTCAGTTTGAGTCAAACATTCAAATGAATGCTTTTCTGCAGTATTGTAAAAAATATCTGCAGCCAATGGTATGCAGTCTTCATTTAACTGAAGAAATATTTAGACATTTGTGCTCTTCAAAAATACATTATGCTGTTAACCAGAGTGTTCTCTGCATATATACAAATAGATCAAGTATCCAAGATGCTGAATCTGTATTGCTGGATTTTTTTTTTCCCTTCCTGGATCAGTTGGTTCCTCTGTTCCCAGGAGAATTTTGAGCTTTTCCACGACACCTTTCTGGTTACAGAATTTGCTAGAGTGTCTTTGCTCATGGCAGCCTCTAAGCTTCTAAGAAACAGGCGAGAAATTATAAAGCTGGCAGTGGAAGACTTCAGTTAACACCTTAATTTTAGTGTCTCAGTCTTAATGGTTGAGTTGAAATGGCATTACTGCCTCACCTTGTTCAGCAGATTTCAAGCTCTGTTAATTATCTGGCATCAAGCTTGTCAGAGTGCCAGCTGTCTTTCCAGACTGTAGACCAAGATGCACAAAAATGTCAACAATTTCAAGCACATTAGTTTTTGACTTTCCTGGCCTCTTTGTAATGACTCCAGTGCTGCATAAGCTAAATCCTATTGTTTTGTTAACTCCTATTAGGTATAATGGAAACCATAGCCGATTGTAATGTACGCGGTTGGAGTAGCTGTGTCCTCCTATGCTTTGTTCATTTCAGTTATTAAGGAAAGTTACCTGCCAAGATCTCCTTCTGTATAATATATTAATAAAATATGCAGGGTGTATATATTGTGTTCTTGACTCCTTAGTATCTTTTGTCTTACATGGCATAGGAAGATATTTGTTGTTTTTAATATGTTCAGATTAGCCTTGTAAAGCTGTCATGAACATCTGAGGTTTGAAATTAAGTCAAATCCTCCATTTTTCCCCAAACTTATTTCCTTTATTTATGATGTAGTTTATCTGAAACTTATTTGTCTTGGGAAATGGTTGTTAGAACTCTACGCAATTTAGAACCTTGAACAAAGGCAACGTGCACCTTGTCCACATCTATATTATGTGAAGTGTATTGACTTTTGTCTTTATACCTTCAGTGTGAAAATATGTAAAAGAATATACTCCTTAAGGGCAACTTATACTCTACATTTAGCTTTTATACAAATGCTGTACTAATGAATCCAAACATTTTGTTGGTAATGGTTACCTTCTGTTGTAATGTCAAAGTTCAGAATAAGTGTCTACATTAATTTAAAGCACTAAGGTAATTGCCTACCACTGTAGTGTTATAAATTTCTCCATAAAACCCAAATTCACCCTGAAGTGGTAATTCTGCAGATGCAAGTTTCTCTTCAATACAAAAAAAAAACCTGAAAATTTTCTATTGTACTCTTTACTTACTGTTCAAATCACATATAATAAAAATAAAGCGGCAGTTTGGAGTGATATGTGGACTACAAAAAGCTTTGGAAGGAAAGCTTTCTTGTTTACTAAATGTAGATATTTAGATACAGATATTTCTTTGTCTCTTTCCAGGAAATGAGTGTTTACTTTCTTCTTGAAAAAACTAAGCAAATTTATTAGCTGATTGTCTTTCCCAAAAGACAGGAATGTTGTCCTTAAACAGAACTGAGCTTGTCAGGAAGTAAGTTGCTGCTTCCATCCTTCATCTCCAGAGGTGTTTTTTTTGTCCAGTTTTGGTCTTAAATCTAGGAAGAATGGCATCTTGTAATCTCTATAAGTAATGCTTTCAAATGTTTGACTGAAAATCATTACAAACTGATGGCTGTTTGGTGCTGGAAAGGAAATGAATTGGTGATGTCAATCCTTTTTTAATGGTTGGTGTCAACAGCAGAAAACCCTGAGATCAAAATCAGCACTAACAAACTTTAAGACTTGAACTGAGGATAGTTTTGGTGTTTGCTTTTTTGAGATATTTTGGTGCTTTCAGGACATTTCCCAAAATGTATTAGGTTGCTCTGGAAGTAATTGTTGAAATGAGAGCTCCTGTAATCTGTGCTTGTTCTGAATACTTATGTTGGTGAATGCTATTTCCTTTGGTTGGGTGTTGGAGCTGGGTGTTGTCTATTGTTTCATTTTTCTTATATCTGTGGTCCTACAATTTGTTTGCGTTGTTATTCAGCAACAGTAAATACATGCTTGTTTTTATGTTCTGCTGAAGCCTGAAGGACCTGAGAACTATTTGCACATGGCTTTACAGCTCTATTCTTTCATGTGTTGCTCTGTGCCATAGTAAACTATACTGAGAATGAATGGACCAGACCAAGGTTTGTGTGGTGGAGGGCTGAACAGTAAAGAATAGCAGCTGCTTAGGGAACAGCATAATACAGTGCAACTATAGAGTGATGTTTTCTGGCTGATAACAGTTAGTGGTTCTGGGATTTCTTGTGAGCCAAAAACTCGTCTTCCTGTTACAGCTCATGATGATGGGTACTTGTTTCCTGCCAGGAATTATTTTTCCATAATCATAAGGTCTACAACTCAACTAAGCGTTTTGTTGATAGCTATCTTCTTTTGAACTTACAACCTGCTTGTATTGTTTCTCCTATTTTTTCTATTTATAGGAAAAAATATGTATTTATAGGTGAGGCAAGTATTTTCTTTTTGGCTTCTCCATGCGCCTTATGACTTTCTCTTTCACTAGTTGTTTCTGCTCCAGACTGAAAATTGCTAGTTTATTTAGTCCTCCTTCATACAGGAAGTGTTTCTGGTATCGACCTGCCTTATTTTTTGTATGGGTTTACTGAAGTCTTTTGCCCAGGGCAAAGGCCCATGAGTTAAATTTACAAGAGAGCACGAGTCCTCTGGGTTCGCAGGGGGTGGAGGGGCAGAACTGATGACAGCATTGTTGAGGAAAGAGAGGAAAATGTAGGGAAGGGCAAGGGGTGTGTGTTCCTACTGTAGCACTGAGGAAAAAATTGCTGAAAGCTGGTACAGAGGGAATCTGAACTCTAGGAGCTACGGTATGATCAGTAGGACCTGCTTTGTTGAGAGGTGGGACTCTCAACTGCTTAAACTTTCTGTGTTTCTTCACTGAAGTATCTCTGGTTTGGGTTGGAGGAGGCATTTTTGTATGAAATACTGCACAGCTTTTGTGTACCTCTGCTGTCACAGCTGTTATGGTGCGTATCATGACTGTCTATGCCTTGACCGCACTAGGTATGTTGATAGTGTGTTATAGCAAGAATAGCAGGTAGAATGTTGTCTCAATTGTAGAACTGTCAGAAGACTTTTTTCAAAAAGTGCTTTTTCAAATAGAATGGTAATCTGTCTGTCATTGATCACTTCTATATTTGTGCTACTTTGGAATTAACCCCTTGCAAATCCATGGTTCTGCCTTGAATCTCTTCTACTATAAAATGCTTGTTTCAGTATATTTTAATGAATTTAAAATGTGATGTTATAATGGCTTTTACTGGAGCTAGGGAGAACATGCAGTGGGCTGTATTGTTTCTAGTTCCAAGTTTAAAGTGATCCTGTCTGCTGTTGCTCTAAATGCATGCTCCTAAGATGCCTCTCCCTGTTTGTGTCTGGCATTCCAGAGCAACAAAAGAAGGGAACTGACACTTTATATGCCTTCATATTGAGGCTTGATGTTCTGCCTCAGAGTGCTTCTAGCTACTTAGCACCATTCATGTTTTCTACATGTCTGAAAATGGCCTTTTACAAAATGTAAAGACATATCAAATTAACTCACAACTGTCTCATGGTACAGTGGAGGGGCTCTTGTGTAAGTTGGCAATAGTGCTCCAGACTTCTGATTGCCCCAGTTAACTTGTTACAATGTCAGACTGTTTGAAGTCGCTGGGGCCTTTTTTGTTTAAAAAGGACAGTAAGAGCTTTTGTATAGGATAACTTTAAAATGTCTTTACTTCTTTACACCTAGAGGCATTTTGTTTGCAGTGGTTGATAGTGTGTTGGCTGGTAACGTTTTTTTTCTTCTGTTGTGTGTGATCTTTTCCACCTTGGATAGAATGCTTTTATGTGCGTGTCTTTATGGAGAAGGTGGTACCAGAATAATTAGTTTTGTGCTCTTTAAATGTTTCTGGAGCTGATGAAGAGGTTGAGGAACTGGGAAAGGGAATGAATGTTTCTGTGAATATTTTACATATGTATATATATGTGTAAAAATTTATGTCCAGAAATGCAAGTTGAGTAATCAGTAGGTATAATCATCAGTTTAGAAAGCTGTATTTTATTAATATAAATATATAATTATTAGCCATTTAAGTTACATATTTAAAATTCAAAAGGCATAAATAACTTTCACTATGATTCATATTGTATCTTTCTCCTTTTAAATGAATCAGTTTATTTAGGAAAGTGTGGTATATAAATTTGCTGGCTTTCTTATTTTTAAGTTCTTGTGGGAAGCAAAAACTCAGCAATTTGCCTTTGAGTGGGGTGGGGGTATCCCCTCTCTTTCCTGTAGTAGGCTCATGCTATGCTGGTCACTGAGTGAACAAGTGGGTTATTGCTTGTTCTCCATATT